TCGGAAGTGATGTCATGCTGGACAAGAATCAGAGTCCGAATAACATTTTTTCATATTCGGACTCGAGTCCGAATAATCACTAGAATCTAGATATCTAATTATTATAAGTGCCAAAGATTCGAGTTGTTGTTACAAAAGAGTAACAAACACAAAAAGTCAATAAAGAGGAGAGAGAGAGAGAGATAAGGATGCTTTTTCGGTAGTTCCCACCTTTCTTTTTGTGCCTAGATCTAGATATAGATATAGATCTACATCTAGATCTACATCTAGATTTCTATTTCTAGATCTCTACTTTTGACTTGATGCGCGGCGAGCTAAGATATCAAACCTAACAACTGCAAAACATCTAGTTATAATGGTAAAATTCAGGGGGGCATGACCCCCCACCATACTTTTATTAGGTCAGGGGGGCAAGCCCCCTGAAACCCCCCTACTCTTTGGGCCAAAACTGGTGAATAAGAATTACGGGTTGAGAACTACCGAAAAAACGCCGAGATAAGGAAGGACAATATATGTTTTATAATAGTAGAATCAAGGGCGATTGTTAAAATTCCTGCATTTAATTCCGATTTACGTTTTTCATAGCTTCAGGCTTTTGTCCCTATCCCTAACCCACATGCGACTAAACGTAGAATGACGCAAACTATTTCTAGGTAAGGCGGCCATCTTGTGTCACATCAGACCGAGATAGCCCTCCAATCTCGCGACTTATGATCTAAACATACCCAACTGCATGGCACCAAAGATCGTGTATCCCTCCCATGGCACGACGTTTGGTGCAATGTTTTTCCACGAGACGTACAGTAATGTGATATTTTATATGCAGCGCTCCGATGATGCTGCTGCTTATTTCTCTTCTACGCATTGTTTATCGGGCCTCCTGGGGGGGAAGGTAAATCTGTCTGCTTTTTTACGGTAATTTTAGCGCGCTTTATTGTCTTTGCGTTTACCATGTTTCAATTTCAAGCACTAGCGTTCTTACTGTTCTGAGCATCAACGATCTAAGCGATCGTCCATCACTAGAGCATGGCTAAACATGCTGCAGTTAGCCGCAAGTGTCAAATTTTACTGTGCAAAACACATCGATACGAATAATAGGCCAAGCCACTGACCCAACATGTCGTTCCACGCAGTACCTCCAAAGATCGTGTAGTGTGTAGTGTATCTCCGTGGTCTTGTAAAATAGTCTATGGGTATCCCAGGATGTGATACTAAAATAAGCATCCAATCAGGATTAGACGCATGTCCCTAACCCTGACCCTAACCAGACCTACCAGGCCTTGAGAGCCCCCCAAAACACTCTATTCTAGTCTAGATCTAGTCTTATATATAATATGAAGACGAAGATGAAATCACGATGGAGCGAGAAAAAAATTCCGTCTTTGGCTAGACATTTTCCAGTATTATTTTACTCATGGACTCATTTCATGTTCAGATATTTTAAAGCACTTTTCTTGTTCATTTTTATCTGCTTTTTTACCCGAATTTTGACTTTATCGCCACGAAAAATTATTACTTTATTAGAGCTGGATTCTGCTCACCAAATCTGAGAGTGGCGATTCGTGATTCAGTGGGCTTCAAAGAATCGCGAGTCCGCGAGCGCTCATGGAATACTAAGCAACTCGTTGCTTGAAACGGAACAGTGTCATATCAACGCTACTTCGGGAGTCCCACTCTTGTTGCCCTCTCCACCCCTCACCCTTCGTTGTGCTGCTCTACTGACCTCAATTAGCGACCCCGTAAATTCACGCCCCCATGATTTGCTAAAACAATGGCTCCATAAAATTCCTTCTGTCTATTGGTTGGAACCCGTTCATTTTGTTTTGATAGGGGAGTTGGACAATGCCATCTTTTGTAAAATAAGGGGAGCCATACTAAGTTTTCCGTTCTGTTCTTGACTCGACTCGCGACCCAGCTGTAGGTTACAAACAAGCCACAAGGTGGTGACAGCGACTGGGGAGTGAATCGGGAATCGGAAGGCTATACTGTTCCACGTTCCGCTGAAGTGAATCGCGAATCGCTTTCCGCAGGGAAGAGTGGCAATTCGGTTTCGTTCTCGGGCTCGCGACCCAGCTCTATAGTTTATAAGTTGTATGGGTATTTTAATACGAACTGTATTATAATTGGACTGATTCTGTAATTGTACTTTATTTGACTTGCTTTTAATGACATGATGGTTTCAGCATGCCCCATGGCCTTAAAAAATCGGGGGGGGGTTCAGTGGGTTCTTTTGTATTTCACCATAATTTGATGTTTTCCAGTTAGATTAATATTTTCTTGAAAACCATTGATTTGCATGCAAAGGCTTTAGTATATATCGTCAGCTGAGAATTCTAACCGTCCAACTCCGGATTTCAGAAATTTTGCAGGAGAGACAAAAAACTGGATTCAATGGTGCTTATTAGGATTTACTGTCTTTAAATGGGCTAGACTGAAATAAATGACTCTACTTTTAAGTATTTATATATATATATATCAAAATTGCCGTATTTTGTTAATTTAAGTCCTAAACCAGAGTTATATGGATAGACCACTCACTTTTGGATTTCTAAGCGTCCAAGTGTCGACGAGCGAAATGTTCATTTAGAATTCTCTAACCCGGCGGGGACGTCGCGCGCTTTGCTATATCTAACTCGGTCATCGTGACACGTTAATTTTATCGAACAACTCGAAATGACAAGACCTTCAGGACTTAGTGTTACAGTCTTACCATTGACAGAGCTGAAATGTAACTCATTGTGACTTTGTGGTTCCGATACATACATGTAACCACATCCATCTGAATATAACGATACATTCACGTGGAGTCAAATCAGATGACAAAAAATTAGCCACACAAGGAGCAAATTCATTTACAGTCAGAGCACCCTCACATTCATTTGAGATATAACGTACCCTGTCCTTGCTCTCTAGATCATATACTGTGAAATTGTTTTGTAATTTCGTCTTGTAGTACAAAGCAGATGCATTAGTGGGTGGATATAGCAGAACTGATTGCAGGTCCTTTGTGATGCATTTGATTTTGGGGCTGCCCATGCATTTTTCCGTGTCTGCTGTCTTTTTTGTATGTTCCCTCTTCCAAATTCCCCTCCTCAAAGCCCACACAAAGATCACACCTGTCTTTTCGAGGATGGAACAATGGCAGGTTCATAGCATTGAACTCTTCGTTTAACTTGAAGCTGGAAAGTACCCCCCCCCCCTTCCAACCCCCCCCCCCCCCCCCGTCATACTTTTCTTTATACAAGTGACAGTTTGGTACTCTGCCTGTAGGCTCTGGAAAAGAGGTTCAATGTATGACTTACTGGAGTCCTTCCGTCAATAGTGAGATGGCAACTTGGGCAGATCACGAAGAAACTGTTTAAGTACCTTTGATTCTGTAGTCTCCTCCCTCACCCTTTTTTCTCTGAACTGGAACCTCACCCTCTGCTACACCCAACAAGTGTGAGAACATTAGTCTGTAGAACTTTTTAAAAAAGAAAGCCTTGCACACTTTGACTCTGGCCCCATTCACCCGCAAATTGTACTTCATGGACCATGATCTTCTGCTTTCTCTCTCCTTTTTCTCCACAGGATGGACACAGTCGACCAACCCTTTAACAAAAGCTGTCTTTTCTAATTTTACATAATCAAACTCATCCTTTGGAACAATCCATTATCACCGTGATCCACAATGGCGGGCGATCTAAATGAATTAAAAGACGGTTAGAATTCTTCTGTCATGGAAGCCGGACGGAATGTATGGTTAAAATTTCTCTATAAAAACAGGACTTTTGTTTGTCAAAATTGTTCTGGATTTTAATAGGACGTAGCCATTCGTCATGTCGATCTATGTTAAGGAAAAACGCAATTTGAGAAAATCTCGGAGTTGGACGGTTAGAATTCTCAGCCGACGATATATTATGCGAGTTTTGCATAAAAAATTATGTAAACAGTGCATCTTAATAGAAATGAATGTCTTGGAGGGGTAACTTGGAGAGATCAAGCATCATGCACACTTCCCAAAATCCAGGCCTTAAAAGATTTTCTTTGAACAAAAATATTGTTTGTGGTAATAATAAGATCTTTTGGTCCATGTTTGGGTTCAAATTTTATTTTTCATCCGCAGTATATGTTGTTTTCTTTTCTTTCTTTAAAAAATACTATCTCTTTTTTTGTGTGTGTGTGGGGTACACTCTAGAATTCAGAGATTTTTTTAATGTTTTCACAGATATACTTGGCAAAAGTGATGAGTATGAGGAACAAACCAGGACTATCATTTGTCTTGGTCCTGGTAGTCTGTTTGGTCATCTTGTATTTTTCCTGGAAGTCATTGCTGGCTCCAAAAATTGCTCCCCAATTCAAGAATGTAGATGGGGGACTTGGATGGAAAGGTATTTTCGAGGGTTTGAAGGACGAACACCCTTGGTTTAAGGAGAAACCTCAGGCTGAAAATAGAGTGATAGATGTTCCCCCCCGTAAAACAAACAGGGTGCAGCCATCCTCTCACGATGTTCGGACGAAAGCGAAGAGCATGAAAAACAGTCCTGCCTCAAAGTCTGCTGTTCAAAAACCATCGGCCAATGATCCTCACTACCAGGCGATTGATATATCTATTACAGATATTTTGAAGTCAATGAACAGGTTTGTCCATCTAGATCTGAAAGGAGCAGCACCGAAGATTTCTTATTTCAAAGAACTTTTCCCCCTACTGAGCAAAATGGGTGCTACTGGTCTATTGATTGAATATGAGGATACTTTTCCGTACAGTGGATCGTTGCAAGGTTTGGCTGCCAGAAATTCTTACACGAAGGCAGATATTATGCAGATTCAGAGTCTTGCCAAGGACAATGGACTTGAGATTATGCCACTGGTCCAGACCTTTGGCCACATGGAGTTTGTCCTGAAATATGAAAACAATGAAAAACTAAGGGAGAGTGCTCACACACCTCAAGTCATCGACAGCAACTCTAAGGCATCTTTGACCATCATATCAGAAATGATCAAACAGGTAAATAGTTGTTGTTTGCACAGTTTCAACATAGATCTCTAAGAATCTTTTTTTCTGTTCAACTGACTTGGTTGATTACTCTATGGTACAAGAGTAGAGGTACCATGTCCTCAAAGATCTCTTTTCAGTTGTGAGACTGTAGTTGCAAGAACTTGTTCTGAATTACTAACTATCAATGTGTTGTCACACCTTGTTATTATAGTTATACTGCTGCCACAGCAGAAGTCCTTCTATTTTTTTTAATGGGTCATTGTATATATATATATATATATATATATATATATATATATATATATAAAATATATATATATATAAAACACCCCTGTCAACACTGTAAAGTTAGCAATCCAAGAGATCTCGAATTTTTGCATGTTTCTGACAGGACAGAGCTAAATGGGTAGAGAGCCTTAAAAACTCCACAAAGTAGCTTAAGTTCGAAATGCCCCTTGGGGCATGATCCTGACTGAGCTAACGGAGCACCCCTGAACAGTTTTCTCTCACAGTTTAAATACCAGACAGCATCAATATATCCAGAGTGTGGCAGCTACAATGATGACATCTTTATTTTTCTCCTTTGAAGCTCATTTAATCAAATGTATCAGGGATACAAAACAGAACATTGTTATTAACACTTTATGTCCTATTATTTTTTAAGAATAGGGTCAAATCGACAGGGTAACATGCTTGGCTGTATTTCAAAGATGTGTGGGTACACAAATATGAACTAATGCAGCTCTCCTGGTGGGGCAACATGGCTTGAAAAGTTTTTAGTTTTTTATACTATAACAAATTGAAAATTCAATGAAACCACGAGAGGTAAGTAGATTAGGGGAATAAAAAGATTTTTATGTGAGGGACTTAACCATCTTCTCAATTCAAAATCTTGGAGGACTAGTCCTCTTGTGTGTCCCATATCTGAACTGAGCTCTTTTTCAACAAGGGCGTAGCTGCAAGATACTGTTCATTGGTGTGAGGTATTTATAACTCAATAACTTACCGTCTCGTACATTTTCAGAAGCCTGAAATCAGTGTCAAATGACTGTAAAATGTAATCACATTAAATGAAATTTATAATTGGCCTCGCCTTCTAATAAATCAAAAAGATATATTTAGGTAGACATGTGCAGTAAAGGTCTACTTCTGGCCCCTCCCCCCCCCCCAAAAAAAAAGTTTGAATCATATTTCATCCATGCTGTCATGCTGTCCCCATGTTGGCATGCAGAGAGCGGAGACCCTGAATGTGTGTAGAAGTAGAAGTTTTAGTTAGTTCCAAATGGAGGGCTGAAGGAGACCTTTATCCCATGTACTTACTCAGTAACTGTGGAGCTGCTGCGCATGTCTGTTTTATGTTTGGAAAAGCACAGACGTTCTCGTTAAGTTTTAATGTTGTCATCCGCATGTAATTGTTTGTTGTGTCAAGTTTACTCCAGCATATTTCTAGACTCCATTTTTTTGGGATTACTCAAAGAGAAATAACAAAATTAAGGTAACGTAAGCAGTGTTGTAGAATAACTCTAAGTTCAAATATGCAACACAAGAAAAAGTAATGAGAGTAGCTCAGCTCTGTCCATGACACTTGAAGTAATCAGTTTTGTTATCCATGAAATTTCAAGGTCGTTAGTTTTCCATCTCAGTAAGGAACTGCAGCTATTTGAAACTCATTTTCTGCATTTTTCCAGTAAGAAGCATTATCACTTCACTGAAAATGTTTTCTGAAAATATCTTACAAAATCTCTGCCTTGCTTTGCTGTTCACTAAGTTCTAAACCTTAAATATGCTGTACTCTGTCAAATGTTGAGGTGTTGTATAGATTTAACTGTGACATGTAAGGAGGTAAAAGGGTTTTCTATGGCTGCATCAGTGTAAAATGTCAAAAAATGACAATATCTGAGGCAGCATGGTGGTAGAATCAGGTGCTCCTCAAATTACAGAAATCGTAAAAACAAGCATTTTTCCGCCAGTTTGGAAATTTATGTATATGGAATTTTTATTTTTTGGATCAAGCTCTTGTATTTCCATAAATAAAAACTAATTTCCATGTGAATTTTACTGAAAAACATTTATTTAAGGCCCAAAATATGTCATTTTTCTATTTTCAAGGACTCTTTAGCTATTGGAGTTACCAAACTTTGGTGGCCATTTTCTCGCTAATTTCACCACTGAAATCAAGTGCAAATATCTTGAGTTCTATTCAGGATAGATGGATATTTATTTCATTGGAAGCAAGGTAAAAAAATCATCTTTCAGATGGTAGCAATAACTCCACGTGCCCAAAAATTGACGATCACCTGATTCCAACGCGTCGTGACACCTATGCCTATTTTTGCCCTGGCCACCACACTATATTTTTTATTTATGCTGTCTATAAATAAAAGTATAAGTATTTAAGTATTTCTTATGTCTCATAATTTATCGACAACAATAAATATATGTAATATCTTGTCATGTTTACGGAATTTTATCATTCTTTACCTGAGGAAATGGTTTCAATTATTTTCTTCCTTTCCAACACATATGAATTTGCAACATCAACTTCCCTTCCTCCCCTAACCACTGAGGCTCATGGAAAAATACTTTTTTTTAGATAGCCAACAGTAAGTGTGAAGACTATGTTGTGATGTTGGTATGGATATATGATGGTTTTGATGTTAATCACCGCTGATGTTGCCTTTGTTGTTCCTTAGGTCCTAGATGCTCATCCACGTGTGACCCGTCTGCACATTGGTTGTGATGAAGTTTATGAACTGGGGAGAGGAGTCAGCGCTGATGTTATGGTCAAAGAGAATGTAACAAAGGAACGATTGTTTTTGCGTCATGTGAAGCATGTTGCCACTATGGTTGGAAACTATAGGACAGGTGGCAGGTCTGTTACTCCGATCATGTGGGATGATGAACTGCGTGGTATCACATTTGAAGATATTCGGGTAAATGCTTGAATGTTGACAGAATTTGTGTGAATGAAAGTATGATAAACTTTTTGGCATTAAAACTATTAAAAGTGATATTGACTTTGAATAGTTTAAGTACCCGGAAATTCTAAAATTGACATGAAGGTATTTTTGGTTACAGATTGCAGGAGAAAATCTTTGTTCCTATTTGGAAGTTGTCATGTTATGTCATTGCAATAGTGGTGATATATCTTGTGATGTTCAAAGCCCTAAGTAAGCAATTAAGAGTACTTCCTCAATTAAAGGTTTAGTTTATCATTATATCTGTTCTATGGCCTTTCAAGAACCTTATGGTGTCACAAAACCTCGAAGTACACTATCCATTTTCCTAAACAATAGAACTTATTTATTGTCCAAACTGAAACACAGATACAAAACAAAAATCGACTTTAAATCTTTTGTATATGTGATATGTGTTTTTGTCATCATTTTAGAAGTTAAAGTAAGTTGGATATATATGAAGCTTGATCAATTCTAGAGGGTTAAGGAGAGGATGATTCTGCGTGTAGTATGCCATTCTCTATATTTTCATATTCAGGTGTCATACATATAATGCAGTAAATGAAAGATATTGTTTGCACTTTGATGTTTTGTAATTCTCTCAAGCTGTGGGGGTTTTGTCCACATTTTGCAGGACTCCTCCCTTCCCAGCCTGGTTCAGATAATGGTGTGGCACTACACTCGTAACATTCTGAAAAAAATTGATGATGATGTGTGGCAGAAATACTCTCTGCTGTTCCCAAGAGTTTGGATTGCTTCATCATTCAAAGGAGCTTCAGGAGCAAGGCAGTTTTATACTAATCCCAGCTTCCACATTGCTAATCATTTTAGGTGAGATGTTTCAATAGAGGTATACTTGTGAGCTTTTATTACCTCTTGAAAATTGTATGACATAAGAAAACATTTACACCGAAAAGGAATGGAGAGAATTTGTTTGAAACAGAATAGGTTTTTAAAAATTTTAACAGCCTGTATAGGTCTGCAGACAAAAAACTAGACTGAAAAGAAATGCTCCAGCACAAAGTCATTCATATACCTCTTAAATTTGAAAGAATTATGTGAGAAAGAGAGGAGAAAAAAAAGAGAGCAAGGGAGAAAGATGGACTGTAAGGAAGTAGAGTACATGAAATGAATAGAAGGAAGTCAAGTGGTGGAGAGAAGATACAAGAGTATGAACAGATGCGCGAGAAGACAAAAGTGAAGAAGTATTACAATATTTCAAGTTTTAAACTGTCACTTTGACCTTTGAAATACCTGCTGATATGGACCTTTTAGTTGAAAGCTCTAGAAACAAATTTCTAGTTGTGTGATTGTCATAAGTGCAAATTAGGTTTCTTAACACATTGTGATATTTCAGTTGGTTGAAGATCATCGCAAGGTATAGAGATATGATCCAGTTCTCAGGCATTGCCTTGACCGGTTGGCAGAGATATGACCATTTTGCCACTTTGTGTGAGCTTATACCTGCTGCCGTGCCGAGTGTTGCTGTCTGTCTGGCCACCATGAAATATGGGGGATTCACTAAGGTTTGTTTCTCTTCTCTCAAGTAGACAGAAAATTGATAGACTTAAGAAACACATCTGGGCCATAGAAGAATAGATCAAATCTGCAGGAAATAGAATTGGTCATTAAAAAATTTAAGGGTCTGGTTTAGTCTGAAGACAAAATACTGTGCTGAGAATAAATATTCCAATATGAAAATAGTCGTTCAGATCCCTCTTAACTCTGGAAGTGCGATTTCCATATATATAGGGTGTGAGCAGGGCTACCTGGGAAGCTTGCAGGCTCTTTTTATAGGGCCGATCTTCTTTAACCAGGAAGTGAGCAGGATGGTAGATGATGTAATAAATTGCAGGTCAAAGCATAAATAGCCACCAATGAGTTTGTAAGTTATTTTGAATTCATAGCGCATCCCTTGGCCCAGAGATGGATCGATATAGTGACGCGGTCCAGCTGCACAACTACACACCATGTGTTATCACTGGTTCCACTGTGCTACCTTGCTTAGTGTTGACTTCCTCGCATTTTATGCTTTGTTTGTAATTGTTTTATCGGTTATCATTTTTGAATAGCTCATTCAATCAACTTTGAAAAAAGCTAAGGTTTTTTACATCCTTTATCATCTGTTGAGCTGTAAATGGTCATTTTTCTGTAGCTGGTATAAATCTTAGCTGATACCTCTGCCAAACCCACATGTTTACAATCGATCAGCCATGGCGTCGGTGCATTTGGGGCGGGGTACTTCTGGCAAGAAGGTTTGTGCTTTCAAGGTTGAATTCAAAAGTATTATGTGAGAAGAAGGACTGAATAGAAGTAGAGAAAGTGAGATTAATAGAGGGAAATGAAATAAAGGAGAGAAGATTTAAAAGAAAATAAACAGAAATGAAGAAAGAAACATAGGAAGACATAAAAGAGCAGGTTACACCGTTGATGGTCTTTGCGAAAACATGCACAACTGTAATAGTGGGATTTGTGGAAGGTTTGAAACAACATTAAAAAAAATATATATACATACAGTGGGGATTTTACTTGGCAGTGCTTGATACTGTACCTTTGTTTTGTTCTTATATATCTGACTTTGTTTACTGTAGATGAAGACTCCTCTGTCCACAGTTTCATACATTTATGGAGTAGCTCAAGAAATAAAAATTCAAGAATGCTACAAAGATTTTCAAAATTATAATCTGTATCAAAATTGCTGTGTTGTGCCACTGGCAAGTTTCTTCTTAAATTACAACTCTTCTCAAGAATTGTGACCTTTTTACCTTCTTTCGAGTATGTAGTCTTACACCTAATCCAGTAAAGTACAGCAGGCGCACATTATGCTCTAATGTTTTATATATCTTATTGCGTCATTCCTTCTCGTGTCTTCTTTTGTGTACCTCTCTGCCTTTATTTCTACTCAATCTTTTCCTTATTGTTTCTGTTTCTCCCTGTCCACCTTATTCTGCTGGATGTGTCATAATTGAAGACGTTAATAGTTTTGTGTATTTCTGGGCAGGACATTCACAGGTCCACCAGTGACATCCTCAGGTGCAGCAGCTTACTGGAGATGAGTGTCCCTGTTCTGGATCCAAAAACACGAAATGCCCAAGTATCTCAGGACTGCAGGTTGGCATTTTTCTGTACATTTTTTGTAGATGTGTATCTTTGATAATGAATACACACCCTTGTCAGATTTGATCTGTGCATGAGTTTTAATCGAAGTGAATATCAGGAAAAGGAGGGGCTAGCTCTTAATTTGTCATTTAAAGGTTAATACGAGGGATACACATTTATCTTTCTATTCTTTGACCATATACTTTCCAGCTGTTTAACGATATTTGTCTTTTTAATAATAATGTCAATACAGCTCAATAATTGAGTCTGTTACATGTCCTTTGTTATGAGCCTTGTCTATTTGTTCAGTTGAGAAAAGGACATCAAAATGAACAAAATGAAAGATCAGGATTGATGATTTCTGTCTTCTGAATTCTATTAGAGGGATCACATTAACTCTTTCAGTGTGCAAGGGATTCCACAATTTTACATACCCAATTTCAGGCTGCGAAGAGTGTTATCTTATAATAGGCACTTCAGTGAAATTTTCAAACTTCTCCAAGGGCACTGAAGTTAGGGGTATAGGAAAAAGCTTGGCTTTCTGTTTTCAGAGCTTTTTAAATTGTTGTGCTATCTTTGTTAGTTCAGAAGCAGTGACCATTTTTTCTGAATCAATTTTCGCCCTGATTTGGCGAAATTTTTGCGCTGTATTTGATCCCCCCAAACCTCAAAATTTTGCTTCAAAACGTCATACAATCCTTAATAATAGTTTTATCGGAACCACTGAGGTGTCATTTTATTTGTTATTTTAGGAAGAATAAAAAATCAAACAATACAAGTTCAGTACATTGAATTGAGAGTAAAATTCTATTTAGCATTTAATTACGTCATAATCGGGACATCGGGAGTCCAATGACTATTACTATTATCCAAATTAGAAACAGGCACACTTTCCATTATGATGGTCCGATTTTCGAAAGAAAAACATAACTAGCATTTGTTTTAAAGAGTTCTTTAACTTTGATATTGGGGAAAAATGATTAAAATTGAAAGCAGTTTCAATCTTACAATCATAACTCAGCAGGAGGTTGGCGGATGCTGATTTGTTCTTTTTTTCTCGCTAACAATTTACCGTCCTTATCTGTCCTCGTTCTTTTCTGTGTATGTTACTATCTTGTAACATCTCTAATCTTCGGTGCTTATGACTTATTTGTGTTGCCTGTGCCGTTAAACCCATGCTAAAACTAAACTAAAAAAGCATAACACAGATTTTAAGAATATTAAAAATATATATGTGTCACGACGTGGTGGAATCAGGCACTCGTCAATATTTGAGCGCGTGGCGTTATTGGTATCATCTGAAAGCAGATTTACTTGCTTGAATAGAATTCAAGATATTTGCGATTGAAGAAAGTGAGGTCACCTGATTTCAGTGGCGGAATAAGCGAGAAAATGGCCGCTAAAGTTTGGTAACTCCAGTAGCTAAAAGGTAGTGAAGTGGTGAGGGAGTTTTGGGGAGATTAAACCTTTGTGCTGTGCCCTACCATTTTTGTATATAACTGACTCTAGTTGCTGAAAGATTACTGTGAAGTCAGATGCCTTATTCGTAACAAAAGGTATTTTGTATTTCTGTATATATTGTTTGTCAAAGAAAATTATTATGCTTATTGATTGTGCTCATACCGAGTTTGCATCAGTTGGAATCATTGTTGTGATGTTTTTCACTATTTTCAGGTTTCCTGGAAGTCCCATTTACTATGCCCTCCAAGAATACTATGGATACTTTAAGAAAAGTGACAAAACAAAACAAAGGCTGATAGGATGGCTATCAGACTACCAAGTAGCACATGGCTTCTCAAATCCAGGTCTTTTGAAGGGCCTGAAGGCGGACCTCACCAGTCAGACCTCCAACTTTTTGAAAATAAGCACTCCCCTGAAAGAAGAGCTTAAAGCTATTTACTCAGAGGATACTGTGGATGAATGGCTAGAGGAAAACATATTTGAGCGGATACGGGAAAATAAAAATAACATTATGAGGTTGGACAAATTGCTGAATACAACTTCCTGGAAAGCTCGGCCATTTGACAGAATTGATGTAGAGAGGCATTCAAAGATGGTTGTGAAAACTGATGATGAAATGAAAAGTAAAAGTGTGAAACGAAGCACAAGTCCAACATACAGAGACAGGGAAGTCGTTCTTCCCAGTGGGGGGGTGGACGATGGCAGAAAAAAGGGGAAGCAATATAACTCACCAGAAGTGAAAGCAGCGAAAAGGGTGGAGAATCAAATGTTTGCTCTACAAGGTAACAACATGAGATCAAAATATATCTCTGGATCAGAAAGGAGAACCCCTCCTAAGGAGAGTCCCCCTTTCCTTCCTAAGAACAGACTTGAAGCTCTCATTGAGAATCACGACACAAGGAAGAAACAGTTTGATATGAGAATGGATTCAAATAACAGAGTGGAACAAGCTGATGAGGGTATTGTAAATAAAAGAGTGGCTGCAGAAAAGAAGGTAGGTAAGAGGGTTTCTGACCCAAGGCCAATAATTGACAGGTCTAAGCAAGGACCCAAAAAATCTCTTCAGTTTGTTCAAGTGTTGAAAGACACTAATGCAAAAGGAATTAACAATAAGGATTTTGAAGATGAGAAAATGAATTCTTATGAAAGCAGGCTCCTCAAAATGAAACATTAAAATTGAAAACTGATGGGCGCTTCTGTCCTTTGAAGATTACCTTTTTAAAAAAAAACATTCTGTTTGTTCAGAAACATTTAATTATTAGGGTAAGATAGGGTTGAAAATGGTTGTAAAAGGTTGTAAAAATATTGCTTATTTAACGTATTTTGCGGAGCAAATGGAGATGCCGTCCCAAAACAAAAAGTTTCCTTAGCTGTCTTTCTTTTTCTTTTTTTGGTATTTGCCTGCAAAGTAAAGCAAATTGCAAAATTAACTTTGTTTTTATGAAAAACAGATTTTTTTCTAAACTTGTAAGTGACATTTGTTAAAGAGCAACAAAGACGATTAACCTTTCTCGACAAATTGCAGCATATCCTTTGCAGGCCTTGACTTCACTTGAGGCGGGCAAAAGTTTGATGGCAGTTCTTCCCATTCCAGATAATTCTACATCATATCATTATTCTTTAAAGGGTTTATTTTTACGGTTGAATATGGTCCCTCTTCATTGAGTTCAAAGGAAAGAGAAGTTGTGTTATTATGGTTTAATGTTTAAAAAAGTTAAGAAGTAGCTATTTCGAGAAAAATACAGACTAAGGGTATTGTTGTGTTCGACTTACTGATACAGTTCTACAATATCACACAACTTATTGGTTTTGTTATCATTTATAATGGCAGTTTTATGGGTACTGGTATCCTTAATGATTTTCAAATCAGACCTGAAAATGCTTTTAGTTGTTAGAAATCAATTTTGTGCGATACGGATTTGTCTCCTCTCAGTAGAAAAGTCGAAGTGCATATATGTAGCGCTATGTTAAAATTGATTTCATCAATGTAAAGGATGAAAATCCAACGTAGATTTCATCATACTATAGTTATCAGCTCTTTAATCAAAGTCGCTCAAGATTATTCAGTAAATAGGTGAAGAATGGAATTCTTCGTTTTTGTCAAAATGGGAAAAATGGATACGTGATATTTTGTTGCGGAACTGTTCACGTATAGTCTCATTCTAAATTTACTGGACAGATTTACTTTTTAGGGGCCCATTTTTCATAGTCATTGGTAACTCTATTTGAGTCTGTCATTCCACTTACTCCTAGTGCCTCCTTATGTATTTGATATTTTAAAATTTTACACTATCTGTCTGTTTGTGTTAAAATTGTTAGTTAAATTCATTTGATCCATAAAGACTTGTGTTTACATTTTGGTTTCATGTGTTTGGAGTTCTCTGCAAATGCAATATAAATGCAGAAAGTACATTTTAACAAAATTTTGAGGGCTTGTTTTCTGGCCTATTATTGAGTGAAGCAAACGCGGTTTTTCTTTCCCTTTCTGAAAGCTCATTGATTTTTATTTTGAACAAGAGTGCTGCTTTCATAGTCTTAAAGCTATTCAAATAATTTTTGTGTTTTTGTTGGCTTTCACCGGCTTTTTCAGGTTTCTGTGATTGGTTTTATTAAAAATAATAAAGTGAATGATTTGTTAATGACATTTTGTAAAAGCCATACCACTGTTTGTGTATATTATGTGCAACGCTGATAGCTTGATTCCTTTACAATTTGATGTGATAAGTGACATTTTCTAACTTGCTTGATTCTTTTGAGATGTTTTGCTGCATTCCATTTATGAAAGCCAACAGAATTTCATTGTCCATTTCCTGATTTGTGTAAAGGATTTACAATTTTTATTCTATGATAATGTAATGTCACCTCTTAAGTTAAAAACAAGGCTGTTTCTTCAATTGGTTGTGTGAAACTGATCAAAATTCTTGTAACTGTGACATAGTAAAACTTTTTGTTTCCCTGTCTTTTATCATCTGTCTGCTCATACACAAACTTTTTAAAGCAAGTTTACTATTGTAAAAATAGCACAGTGTCATATCATTATATTCTTTTTTATATAATATAATTGTATTCAAGTATTAAGATGAATGACCTAAGGGCCTCAAACGTGTTGATTAGACTTATTATAATCCTGTTTATGTAGCTTTTTTTTCAGGGCCTAAGCAAAACAACTTCTGAAACTGTTCAATGTAGGAAGTGTAGACTAATCAAATAAGCTAGAGCCCAGTCTTGCCTTGTTTAAGCATCAATCTGATTGTCCTATGTCTTCAATGTTGTCTGTGTAGGATGGTTTAATTAAGGCCCTCTTGTTATTGTTTTTTTACTTGTCTGTTGCGGTTTGGTTTTTTTGCAATTTTTTTTCCTCTTTATTTTTTATTCGTAGTTTATTTTTGAGCTGACAAAATAAAGAACAATGTATTTCTAAGATAATTAAAAATTAAGAAAAACTATAGTTTTTTTTGTGTTTTTTAAATGACTAATATAAAATACCAGAGGGCTTTTGCTTTTTTCTCAGAAATATTTATTATGAATTGTGTCTAACTGTAATTGCAAGAGTGCAGAGCCTATTTACATCACTGATGCCTGTGGTGTAGGGATTGGTTTCTACGCCTTGAAGGCAATAGACTTAAATTTGATTCCCATGTGAATAAGTTCTTTTATTATCCATGTCTGTCTTTGTGCTGGGATACTGTATCCCACTTAACAACCATTTGAAGAAAGGACAGTACTTATAGAGCTATAAAACAGATAATTAAGGGTTTAAGTTGCTTCTTGGAATTATACCTGAGCTGTTAACAGTTAGGGGACATTGCTTTAGAAATTTGCTATCAATTTTTTATGGTGATGTTTTAATTCTGAACAAGGGTAAAAAGCTTGTTTTGTTTGCTGGCTCTCTGTCTGTCTTTCTGTCAGTCGCAGGTATGTCTGCAGAAATAACACTTGGCTTCTCCTTTTTCAAGAACCATCTGTGCTGGGTAAAAAACTTCTTAATACTGTGAATGAACAATGGGCGAAGAACAAATTGTGCTCGGAATTCAAGATGTGGCGGGTGTAGTGATGAGAGTCCATAATTTCTTTATCAAGTTAATTTAGTCATTTAGCTGAGTAGGATAGATTTCCACTTTTTTGTTATTGTTTTATCCTTACAAATATTTTGTAATAATAAACCTTTAAAGTTTATTAATGTAAATAAAAGTGGGTTATTCTAATCGGGACTGAGCTGAAGTACTTAAATATATGCATATGTTATCATTCGAGGACTTATTTAACATAATATTGTAGCAGTATACTGTCATAACTGGAAACTGATACAAGTCTTAAAATTCTATGACTTCATTTTTTAAGTATTTTAACCAATCACTTTTGACATTCCTAACAACACATAAATCTACCTGGTATGAACAGAATTGGATGGGAAAAAACATTAAATAGTTGAGCTTCCTGGTTATATATATATGTGTTTTGCCTTATTGTAGTTTTGAATTTTGACCTTACATTCTGCTTGAAAAGTTTTAGTATTATGTTGGTCCCACTTGGTCTCAATATTTTGAACATTCAGCAGTTTTCTCATTTGGGAAGTCCAATCAATTTATTCTTAATTTCACTTCTATCCTTTTGTTTTTAACTACCTGTTCTTATCAACCATACATTTAGGGAGGGAGAGATTGTAAATGGACATCCTGTTCCTGAACTGTTGTTGTTATTCGTTCTTTGAACTAATGACAGTGAATTTTGTGAAAATGAAAGCTTGATTCTTTAAATTGGAAAACTTAACCAGATTTTCTGTCATTTGGTCTTGGAAATAATTCACTATGGTGCATGACAGCTACTGAGTTATGGGTCATTGGATGTGTCTTATCCCCAAGCTTAGACCTAAATTTTCCCTTATGCTGTAATCAGGAATTCAGACCTCTGCCCATTTGATCCTATAATTCTGTTGCTATGATGATACCCCTGGTTTAAATTGTAATTTTATACAGTTCTTGTCATTTATCAAAGATGTGCCTGGGTGTGCTTTCAATGGAAAAAATAAGATGCAACATAATCACTTACAGATGAATGATGGGAAAAGACCTGGATAAGTTTGTACAGAGCAAACAAGCAGAGAAATGAATGGCAGACCTTGATCACTGATGTCTGTTTCAGACCTGGCACTTGAAGAAGAAGACAAATGCCTGGTGTAAACCGTTAATTAATGAAGTGCATTCATTTTTTAAAGGAGTTTTTGAACATGGTGTATACATCCAGGAACTTCAAGTACCCAAATTTGTCACCAAGACTGTGTACCATCAGGTTTCGTTATTTTATATTAAAGTGTCTGGATGGCTGCAGGTTTTCTTGTAAAGGGCTGAACTGATCCATGACTATGTTTGTACAGGGTAGGACCATGTTTTAAACTGCCAATATATGTCATATTAGGTAGATGATTTTGTTATTGCAATCAGTTATATTTTTTATATTGCACATGCTCAATCTTTTTGCTGATTACTTTCTTGGTTTTGACTTTTCTTATGCTTAAAATACATTTTGTACATGTTGGTGGTCAGCTGTTTGTTCGCTGTCAGTTGCCCCTGCTGCATAGAACTGTCATTTGACCCTTTCCAGTGTTGTGGTGCTTGCCAACAATATTGATGTAGCCAGGAAACCACTTTTCAATGGTTCTGTAGAGAGCTTAACATTTAATGCTGCTAGTACTCCAGAAACTACCAATGATATTTCAACAAACATGTGATGTGTCTTTGTGCCTATTCAATTTGCAGGTTTCTCATCCCAGCTACGAGGCAAATTTATTTCTCTGCATCATAGAATTGAGAAGTTGAAATTAAAATGCCAAAGAGTAAAAAAAAATCTGTCATAGTGTTGGCATGGAGAGCTTTGTTTATTGCTAGCAGCTTAATCAACTTAATGCTGCCTTGTAGTTAGCCCTGGTTGATAGTTGTTGGAATTCCAACACTAGTAATTTATGTGTAAAGCTATGATAGTTGCTTTTTCCTCCCAATTCATCATTTCATGATTCTCTTTACTATTACTAGTTATAAATACAGTCGAACCTGTGTAAGAAGGAATCTCGCTAGGGACCCTGAAAAAAATTCCGTCTTAGAGAGGGGAATTTAAAATTTAAGGGGGGGGGGTTCAAAGGCCCAGCCGGTGGGATCAAGGATCGCTTGTCCGATCGGCAAGCTGAGGTCAAAACTTCACACCTCTCAATTGCTATCCTGTCTGAAAAATGGCATGCGTCAGTCTTACTTTTATCCAATTACCACCAGTGCTAGCCTTTCATAGGACTACTGTTTGACCTATTAAAAACAGAAACGTTTGAACATCTCCTTTGATTCCACCCTTAGCCCCACCCACCAATGCCACCCCTCACTGCCATCATCGTAACAACGTTCGAGGAACTCTTTTCTCAGCTGGCAGTCCGATCAGGGCATTGGTCAATCTTATTTCACGCCTGTGGCTTTGGCTACCCAGGACAGTTTCCGAAGTGGCTCGCTACTCGAGCACTCTCACGGGCAGTTGTAAGATTTCACACCCACGCTACACTGACCATCTGCATCTCTCAGGGTTCACATGATAGGGTAACATATCTACCCCCAAATTGCACCCCTACTCCCCTTCCTCGCCCTGCGGCATGGCCATAGCGTTAAGTTTAGGGCCGGCAGAACCAAACTTGGGAGTTTTGTTTCAAATCAGGGTTGAGCGGACAAAGAATTTTCCGTCGTAGACAGGTGAAACCCTTGGAAGAGAGCGTATTTTTCTTTCCGTTTCCGCGTTGGACAGGTTTCCGTTTTATACAGGTATTGTAATTAAAGAGGAATATATCAAGGGGGGAGTGGGGAGATTCTGTTAAGACAGGTTTCCGTTTTACACAGGTTTCCGTCAAGGCAGGTTCGACTATATGTTTGTAGGAAATATGTGGGAGAGGATAGTTAAACTTGTTGTAGAGGCTACCCACAAGAGACGAGATGGATGTTTCCAATGTCATTTACATTTGTCCTGAGTAGTTCTCAGGAGCAACCCAAGAATAATTTGAAATAATAATACACATGTAGGCTGCATGTTGATCATTGTCTTGTTTTCTTATTTTTCGAAGTCAAAGGCTGACCTAGCTTTTTAAGATCAAGCTTTGCATCATGAGTGATGATTTCACTTACACCTATCATCATGCTTTTACTTCCTTTAATTAGTTAATTGCTAGAGATTTTCATGTTTCTGTTTATTGGCTGTACTGCCTTTGACTTTCAACTATTTTTTTTGCCACTAAGAGTGAAGCTAGATATGTAAGATTGCTGTAACTGCTTACCGAAAACAATTGTTATATGTATATAATGTATCAAGTTTGACTGGTTTTTTCCTTCTGGGTTTTTTTTTTTTTTTTTTTTTTTGGTGAGTTTTCATGTACATATTCAGGTGGCGTCAGTGGCCTAGTGATAAGGCTCTCAGAGTCGCAAATGTGAGGTCGTGGGTTCTATTCCTGTCAGGGTCATGACGTTGTGTCTTAGGAAAGGCGCGTTAAACAAATTTTTCTCACTTCACTCAGGACGGAATGGGTACCCAGCCATAAACGGCAGAAGATCTTGTCAGTTTGTTACTGTTTGAGTGTGTGAAATGCGCTGCTTGCACTGTACTGTAAGCTTCCTGGGAAACCAAAATTGTTTCTGGGTGTTCTAGGGTGTGCCAGGGTAATAGTAGTTGTAAAGCTGTAGTGCGTGGATTTGCACTAAAAATATAATATATGCGATTATTATTATTGTTATAAAAAACAATGGCGCCCAAAAGAAACTTTAAAATATATTCACCCATTTATCATGTTGTTACTGTGTTGGACTACCCACTCATGCTGCACACCATTTAAACTTAAAGTAAAGCTAAATAAATTCTGCATCGTTTGACACATTAGTTTTTCATTGACGATCCGAGTCATTCAAGATATGGTCACCAAAATTTACCTTAGTTTAAAAATCAAGCTTAGCAAAATTGTGTGAAATCAAGGAAACATAAAAGTGTTTTCGGTTTTCGGGCTTGTATTAGAGTGGATTGACTTTAGTGGAGGAATGGACATTTTGTATTGCATATCAAATGAATGGAGAATATTATTGTCTCCGCTATTATATTTTCAGAAAGATTTGAAAACAGAACTGTCGCAAATACCCTGTAAAACTTGGATTTAACATTAATACTCATTAAATTAGTATTTTATGAGCCTTTGGTTTCATGTAGAACACCAGCCCTTTTTGAGCATGGACTGTATAATAATACTGTATTATTAGTTAGATCTTGGAGCCCAAGTTCGACATAATCATCTGTCACTGAGGATCAGAGACCACGAAACTGCCATGGTTTGGGGTGGCCTTGCTGGAATTAACAAAACCCCACTTGTGAGAATCAACGGGTGGCTTCATTTATAGAACCACATCGTACAAGTGCCAGTGCCTTTAGACAATTCTTGGAAAAGCAAATTATACCAACTCTGGAGTGGTTGTTAGTAGCCCAGGAATCCAACATAAAAAAATATGGGAAAATGAATCTGCAGTTGAAAAAAATGCAAATTTGCACCCGGTTAAGACACTTTGTTTGCAACTCTCTGTGACATTTGGGATGAACTGTCAGATGATTATGTCTCAAATTTAACACAGACCATGCCCAAATGCTTCGTGACCTACTCAAAACCAATGTCTTAACAAAATACTGAGCACCTTTAATGTTAAGTCCAAGTTTAGTGTGGTATTTGTGACTGCACTGTTTTCCAGTTTCTTTCAAACTACAGTATAATACTAATACTAATACGGATACGTTGATCGCAGAAGACTCGAAATCACGCATCGGCCGAACTGTGCCTGCAATCCCGTGGTTTTTTGTTGTTGTTTTTTTATCTTTGTAAGATATCCCTCAAACTTCCGAGGCCCGAGCTATCCGTGTTGTTTTACTTATATTGTATTGTAGTTTCAGTTTGTAGTGTAGATCTAATAAAATATCATTTGTTTTGACAAAAAAGAAATTCCCCTTTCATTTGATATGCAATACCTTCCAATTACACCAATGATGGTGCACCTCAATACAATTACACCAATGATGGTGCACCTCAATACACACGCAAGCAGTTTTAAGTTTCTTTAATTTCACAGAATTTTGCCATGAGTGGGTAGTGCAAGGCTTTAAGTTTAAGTTTAAGACAATGATTGGGTAAATACATTTTCCAAGTTTCTTTCGGACTCCACTGTATATATATATGGGACAGAAAGTTTTATAATCTATTTTAAGTTCTCTATACTTTATTTTGCTATAAATCTGAACTGAAATGGGTTCCCCTATCATTCACAGAGCATGAGCATTACATTGTACAAGTTAATGTGTGCCATATTTTGTGAAAGTCACATCAAATTCATTGTCCTTTTTAAAGTGATAAACTATACTCTCAAATTTACGTAAGATATTACAAGTGATTTCTTACCTTTGAATGGAACAAAAAAATTCCTTTCCCTCCCTCCCCTGGTCCATATATAAATATGGCACTAAATCAAAGTTTAGCTCTTATTTTTATACTTATAAATATACAGTCAAACCTGCCCTGACGGCCACCTCTATAAGACGGCCACCCGTACAAACGGCCACTTTCCATTTCCCCCCTTAAGTTTTTTCTATATAATTTAACTGTGTAAAACGGGCACCTGTCCAACGCGGCCGTGGCCACCATATTTTAATACACAACCCCTATCACACTAAGCAATAACACCTGTCTTAGACGGCCACCTTGGTGACTCCATTACGTTTTGTCATAAATTGTGCATTGGCCCCTGGTGTTGTGGGCGAGCCGTCATAATTCAATCAGAAGTGTTGCTCGTTCTCCGAGTGGTGGCGACCCATGTGTTTGTTTTACCATGGCACTCGGTCTTCCTCGTATGATACATTTTGTTTTATTTTCACCCTTGCGCAAAATCAGCAACAAAATAAAAATTACAAACAAAATACAAACCACCACCACCAACAACAATAAAAACAACAATGCGGCTACTTTCGATTGGGACCTCAGATGGGAATGGTTTCTTTTCTTTATCTTGATCAGTCCTGCCTAAGACGGCCGCCTGTCTTATACGGCCACTTTTCTCCATGACAATGGGTGGCCGTCTTACACAGGTTTGACTGTATATTGGACAGTTTCATTCATTTCTTCAAGTTTTTTTTAGCATTTTCATTCACTTGTACTTGTACTGGCATGGGGTGAGTACCACAGGATGTACATGTTATGTCATATAATTTATTTGGTCTTCTTTTTTAAAAGTGAACCTGTGTGAAGCTCATTATACTTACTCATTGATTAATCTGCTCCAATCAAGAATAATGTACCTCTTGTCTACGCACTACTACTTCTAACTAATAAGGTCTCTTTTTCAATCTTGCGAAATTCATATACATGTAAGCGTCACATGTACTGTTATGCCATCCATGAAGTCAGAGATTCTTGTTACTTGTTATCATAACTTGCACTGTTTTTACAATTTATAATATGTGTTTTCCTTTTGACTGATCACACTCTTAAGATTGTACAATAAAATTGGGAGATAAAACTTGCTTTTTTGAGAAATTATCACTCAAGGAAGAAAATGGCTGTGTCTGAAAAAGTAGAAACTCATGCATGGCATTCATGCTTTATCTTGCAGCTGTGCAACATTCCCCCCTCTCCAGGAAACTAGAACAAAGTCTAGTACATACAAACAGTGCAGCCTCTCTATTACAATGACATCGTCGGGACCAGAAAAAAAATGTGGTTGTGGAGAGGCAACCAAATAATTGTATACATTATAGGCCTATATGAAAAAAATCGCAACCTGGGCACCATGTTTCTTTGC